CCACAACTCTGTTAGACCCTCAGGGACTGGGCTTTTCCATGCTTTGTTTTCTACAGCAAAATGGAATAACTCTTGTGGAGCACATTCCCTTTGCATTACACCCACCCCTTTGCTTCATTGTATCTAGGAGAACTGAGACAAAGAGACTTACAATAAACTTCATCCAAGCCAAGAAATGCAGCCTCCATGTAAAGTAGAAGTTACAGCTGGATACCCATTGAATTGTTCCTTATAAGTATGTGGTTCAGAATGTTTTTATGTTGAAGCTTTTTCCCACTTGAGGAACACACACCAAATGATTCTATAGATTAACTCTGTATCACTGTCCATCTTGAACCCATGGTGAATGTTTTTGCTTTGGTAACAAAGCTTTGATATTTTGCTATTTGCATAAAAACTGCTAGGGGACATTTCAGTAAAGTTCACTATCCTTTCTATAGCTGCATATTGAACATGGAATTCTAAGATATGTAACAGTGTTCTTTCATTCATAGAGCCTTTGAATGTTGATAAAGTGATCATAATGCTGAAGAATGATATTTGGAGGACTATCCATCACGAAATAAACATGGCACATCTTTTATAGTTCCAGCTACTGGAAGACATTTTAAAATGATACTTGCATTAACTATGGACTGTGCTATCTTTCTTTATTGCAGTAATAAGGTTTAAGTAGGAAGTAAACTTTTCCAAGTATCTGTTTTAGAATTTCTGATTAACTCTAAAAGGTTTTGTTCTTTCTTAAAGGTCAAATCATCTTTAAAAGATATATGGATACAGCTGGACATAATGGTGCTTTTGAAAATCTTTCATAACCAGTAGCCCAGTTCTCTGATTTAAGTAGGGCAAATATGCCATTTATCCTTACTATCATTATAGTTGTCCAATATTACCAAATTTAGGGATGCTATGAAATTCATAGAATATTTAATGCCTTTCATCCACTCAGGCTAATATTCCTAAAGCAAATGTAAGTAAAGCTTATCAAAACTACATGTTATTTTAGAAAATTTGGAAACAGAAAATCATCCATAATTTTGTCACCACAATTTAACAATATCTTTATATTCTCTCTTCTAGTCATTTGTGTTTTTTATATCCTGTGTTCATGTAAAGTGGTATGTGCTTTTTTGTGCTATACATAGTCTTTTTCCTTCTATATATTCTTCAAAACCTTTCATGTGAGTGGCTGCATATTATTCCACCAACCATTCACTTATTTTGAAATTAATAATGTTTTAATTACTTTAAAAATGGAATGATGAATATTTTTCTACACATAGGCTTTTTATTATTTTGAATTAGTTCTTTAGAATAAAATTCAGTTAATATTTTGGTAGTTTAATAATGAAAAAATAAAGCTCTTTTATATTTCCTTATTAATAGCTAGGTTTAACATCATTCTACATCTTGTTTACTACTTATAATTCATATTAGGTTATTTTTGTGTTTTGTTTTGTAGTGATAATTTATAAACTAGATTCTTAATTAGAATTAAGATATAATTAAGATAACAGGATATAAACAAGTATAAAAGTTATGTATCTTTTCAATATATCTTTTTAAAAATAACCGTTACAATGGTTATATTATTTTTACCTTATTGACATACTGAAGCTTAAAACCTGCATCTCACAAAATATGTCATTTTTCATCTTTCTGATCTCATTTCCAAGCTTAAAAATTTGTCTTCTCTTTCAGGTATCTGATACATAACCAGTCTATTTCTGAGTTTCTCCATTTAAATTTGTATATTTAATGTTTCCTTACATCTATTATTTTATTTGGTATATTTCTGAATCTAAGTTTATTTTTTCTTTTTTCTAAATTTTAAATTTTGGTTAAGCCAGATTATCTCAGTGTGTCCCCTTAATTCTCAATTTTTACATTGTTTTGTTATCTCTCCCTTACAGTTAAAATTTCAATCTATTTGAGTTTTCCCCAATAACCAAGAAACATCTCATTTTAATTAATATTGATTTTAAGTGGTTTTAATATCTGAAAGGATAGGTGAATCTCATGACTTTTTTAATGTTGTGTTTAAAAAATTTTTTAAATTGACATATAATTGGCATATAACATTACATAAGTTTAAGGTGTACAATATGTTGATTCGATACATTCATATTGACAAAAGATTATCACCTGTTAATTAAATAAGGTGGCCACTAGACAGAGGTGGGTCTAATGCTATGGTGCTTATACAAGCAAACCACAACCTAAGTCTGTAAATGTCACAAAATTATGGAATCAAAACACGAAGGGCAATCAATCATAGTCAAGTAGGCTTTAAACTAGAGCCAATCAAATAATTCTTTTCTTTGCTTCCACACTGCACTAGTGACTACTTCCGGTTTGGTGCTGCCTGATTCAAATCATTTTCTGTTCAAAAAAACTCTTAAATTTTTTAATATGCTTCTGTTTATATTCTAACACATCTTAGTGTTAGCTAACACTTCTATCACTCATGAATTGCTTTTAAAGATGGCTTCTCATATCGCCAGGAACAAATCTCCTCCACCCTCCTGCAAACCCTATCACAATTTGCCTGAACCGCACTCAGAACGGAGGCCCACAGAGCTCCTGGAAAGGTCTCCACTGTCTCCACCCCCACCACACACACACAGCCCAGCCTATTTCTCCTCTGCAATGGCCCAAGATGCAGTTCATGGAAGGCTGATGTCATTAGAATCCATCATTCCCCTTCCCCTCAGGTAACATGAAGACAAGTCTAGTCACATCTGACAGCTTGACATCCCTCAGGTGCCATGAGAAGGACAAGTTCCTAGAATACCCTTCACTATAGACCTTTAACCCTGGAAGACCTTTCATATCTAATCTAGTTAATTTTCCAAACTTACTACTCCCCTTTCACTGTGCTCAGTAGAATACAGTCTGTTGTCAGAAAGGCCCTTAAATCTGATTTCTCATGACAGCACAGCTTCCTCTGTAGAACTATTAAGTCAGAGCTGTTCTTTTTCTCCCACATCCTTCAGCATATATGGCCAGGAGGTACACTGGGTGTTCTTGGTGGATCTCATGGATATTTTCAAACCACTGTCAATTTTCCCTCTTTAAAAACCTGAGCTCTTCTGTAGCATATGCCATGAGGTCATACTACTTTCTACACCTTCTTGCTATCAATATCTGTGGTCCTCTCTCCCCGAACTCATTCACTGAATATTTAGCATCAGTACCATTATCTTTCTCTGCATCACAACTTCTCATCATTCTCAATGATTTCAATATCCATGTGTTGGAATAAATTTCTAGCCCCAAGTTAGAGCCACTCCTGCCTGGCAAGCCACATTAGAAATCTGAAACTTAAGATAACTTTTCTGTCCCGTAACACTCTGCTTTACCAGAAACTCAGTATATCCACTCAGCTAGTTCCCAAATGCTAACTGAAGTCTGGGCTCTATACTTACTCCTGGTTCCTTCTCATCCCAAAAAAGGTTGACCCTATGGGCCCAGCCAATCCAGTATTTTCTATTTTTCTCTTCCTTGTTCTTTATTCTTTATCATGTAAAAACTTCCAGCCTTCCACGCATTTTGCAGTTCTCCACATGAAGACTGTCCAGTTCATGAAGTGTAAATAAAGTTTGTATCACTTAAATTGTCTTCTTTAATCATTTTTAACACTTGGACTTTCTTGGCTTCAAAACTTTCTCACTCTTGTTATGACCAATAATGGCACCATTTTGCAAATCTGACCACTACTCTTTATCTTTCTAGAATACAGATTCCAACACATCTTGGACCTTACCTTGATTTCCAATTTACTGATGGCAGTGCAAAAAAAAAAAAATTAAATTGGTGTCACCTCTTTCCTGTCTTCATGTCTTTCTTTGTTCAGCTTATATCATGGTCCACCACTAAAATTATTTCTGTGCCTATATCATCAACTTTCTTATCTTTTTCTCTCCCCAAAACTCCAATCCTGATTAATCCAACATTTTGGATACCCCAGATCTGTATCTAGGAACTTAATGTGGCTAGAGAAAAATGCACAGTCATGCTGACTGATTTCATTTTAAATGATGCATGACCATATTCTTAAGTGTCCAGGCCTTGAGAATTGCTTAGAAATATGCATTTCTTTAGACATTCCACCACCCTCATTCTCTGAGATAACCATTTTATACTTTTTTCTTTCTCCTTAACAGCTCCTCAACCCACTTTCAGCACAAGACTTGCTTTTCATTTCGCTAAGAAAATAGGCACAATTAGAAGAGATCATCCTCATGTCACCAAATCCTCTCATGAGTACATGAAAGTCTTTCCATTTTCAGTACATACACTATACTAATAAGGTTGCCCTCATTTGTGAATTCACTGTTACAAATGGAGTTTCGATTTCTTAATGAAGTATTTCCAAGAGATTTTAAAGATTACAAGCTAGTAATTTTATAGAATGTTCTTCATCTTGGGTTTGTCAGGTATTTTTTTCATGCTAAGATACCAGCCAAATTACTGCATGCATGAAGTTGAGTTATCCTTAGACTAACACTCAAAGGTGCAAGATATTCATTTGCCCTTCTTTGGTGTGAATTTTTACCACCTGGTCAAAATGTCATCTGTTTTCTCCACTGCGCAGTTACTGTTTTTCCCCCTGTAGCTAACAAGAAATTCGAGAGGTAGACACTAAGTGCATGCACATGTCCTGCTCTTCAGCAACCTTTCTCTCCAGATTTAGCATTGATTGATGATTCTTGTCCTAAGCCTTTAAGAAAGCTTTGAAATGATTTTTCCAAATCCTCTCTACATGTATTCTTTGCATTTTTGTTAGCAAGACCCCTCCCCACCTTTCTTCTCTGTTGTTTAACTGTCTCAGTCAATCAGTCAATCAATTAGTTAATTATCTGGGGACTCAATAATGTACTCCAAATCTCAATTTTCTTGATAGTATTGGAATCCGTTGTTTCCCTTTTGTTGGCATTTGATTTTTCTGTCTTTGCCACTTTTTCTGTTGCAATCTTTTTTGTATAATTTTCTTTCAGGTGTGTATCATCCGAAACTATTTTTTAAAAAATGATCACTGTCTTTCATTTACATCGAAGTTCTGGGCAGTAGAAATGTAAGGTAAGTAATAATTGTTATTTTCACAATGATGATTTTAAGAATAATTATAATTAAACAGACACTGTTCATTCTACCCAACATGGCAGGAATAAAAAACTATTTTGGAAGGTCACTGTCTAACAAAGGGTCAGGTGTGTGATTATCTTCTGTTGGTAATCTCCTCCCCAGTGCAAAGTAATGATGTCCACTGTTGGATTCCCCACTGAGTGCTTTCACCAAGGGAAGATAAACTTCACTACATTATTTTCTATTCTTTTAAGTGCCCTCCAGGCTGTAGGACTATACAGTAACTTGGGTTGTTATCTCAGTAATCACAGGATTAATTCAGTAATGTGGGTAAAAACACAATTTCCAGAGATGAAAGACATTGAAAACATTCGGTGCTATTTTGTGTTGTTTCCTAATCCTTTAAGTAAAAGCTTAATTAGTGACTTAGTGACTTTGAGAAGGAAATGAGAAGTAATCAAGAACATTATGTTTTTGTAGACCTACTCTTTTTGCAGCAAAAATGCTTCCACCATAAGGTTTATTATGTTTCTTGCATTATTCAGTTCCCAGAACAGTGCATTTACTGAAAACACATCATGCCATTGTGATTTGACAGTGTAAGTAAGGCTACTATTTTAAAAAACATGTTTCCATGCATGAAATGGAAACTTCAAACCCAAGAAAACAAAGACCTCATGTTAAAATATTTTCTGTCTTCTAATTTTATAAAAATTTTTAAAAAATATTTTAAGTTTAATTTTAACTAAACTTGTTTTCATCAAGCAGTAGTGTATCTGGAAAGCAGTGTTTTTCCTTGCCTTCTCTCCAAAGTCTCTGTATGACTCCCTTCTCTTCTTATTTTGGATTATGGGTTGACCAGGTAAAAATGGGGAGATGTGAGGAATAAAAAATCATTCCCCCTACTTTTTTCCTTCTACTCTAGTCCTAACATTGTTATGCTAATAACCACAGCCATATTCTTAGTTAAGTTAGGAAGATTCAAAATTGTGAATGTCTTTTGTAGTAAGTAAAAACTACATATTCTGTGTGGAATTTAAGGTAAATTCTCTAGGTAGTAGAGAAATTCTCTAGAGAGTTCCTCTAGGAGAAAGAGTTCCTCTAGGTAGGGACTAAATCAGATCTTATCATGAGTTGTGCTCTTTATTCATTCAGCCATGTCTCCTGGGTGCCCATTGTGTGTATGTCCCAGGCGCAAAAGTTTGGAATTGAAAAATAGACTATGATTGGTGCCTCATGAAGCTGATGTTCTAGAAGGAGGGGATGGATAATAAAAAATATACATAATGGTTAGGTGAGTGATATGGTATCTTAGAAGAGTAAAAGCACTCTGGAAAAAAATAGGGTGTAGTCAGGAGGATTAGGGTGCTGTGGGAGGGATACAGTATAATCTCAAATAGAGTGGTCAGGGCAGGCTTCATTCAGGAGGTGACCTTTGGTCAAATATGTGAATTAATGAGGGAGTTGGTATTCTAGGAGAGGCCGTAAGAGGGGAGTGTGCCCTGTGTGTTCACAGAACCCTTTTACTTTGGGTAAAATAAGGAACCACTGGCTTTGACTCTTCTGGGGGAAATGGGAAGCCACTGAAAGATTTTGTGCAGAAATGTGATATGACTTGAAACCTACTTTAACACATTCAATCTGGCTACTATGTTTTAAATGGACCCTCGGGAGCCAAGGGTGGATGCTGGGAGAGTAGTTAGGTCACCACAGTTGTGCAGGCGAGAGCTGATGGCTACCACCAGGGAAGGACAGTAGGTACTGTGGGAAGCAGTCAGATACTGCCTGTAGTTTGAAGATGGAGCTAAAAAGTTTTCCTGGTAGAGGACATGATGAAGACTTGAGGGAAAGAGAGGAGTAAAGCATGTTGCCAAGGTTTCTAACCTGAAACCCTGGCAGGCTGAAGATACCATCAGCTGAGATGGTAAAGGCTGTGAGTGGAGGAGGATTTGGGGAGATAACGGAAGTGCAGCTTTAGACGTATTAAATTTGAGATATCTATCAAACATTTAAGTGGAGATATCCAGTCGGCAGTGGGATAATGAATCTGACATTCCGGAAAGAGGTTTGAAATGGAGACATCTAACTGCAAAGCATTAGCATACAAATACTACTTACTATAACCTATGAGACCTTACTACACTATGAGACCTAATTACATAATTAAAGAAATTAGTATAGCTAGAAGATAGAAGGCACAAAACTGAACTATGAGGCACCAAAGATGAAGATGGAGGAACCAACAGAAGAGGAACAGAAGTGATCATTCTCACATTCATCTGGCATGTACTCCTTCCAGTTCAAGATGATAGGAAAAGGGTTAAGAGAGGAAAGAAGTTATCAGGGAATTGATACACAGGGCAGACTGCATGTAGAAAGTACCCCCTTCCTCTTCTATAGGGATGGAGAGGACATGAATGTGGATAGCAAATTATTTTCCTAACAATGTGTTAAACTTAGAACTTGACTCTTTTTTGTATGTCAGATTGTACCCAAACAGATGGACTTAGAAAGCACTGCTGAAATAACCTACTGTAAAACACAGTATTTTGTTACAGAGTCTTATGTGTTCTATATTTTTAAATGTGGAACTTCTAGCAGATTGTTAACAAACACTTGTCAAATTATTAATATATGACCTTTGCTCTTTGTTTATAATTTTAATATGTTAAAACTGTTTTCTTTACATAAAGGAGACACATAAAATCTTCCTTTAATATTTTTTTCAAAGCATACCTACCTATTGAAAGAGATGCTAGTTTATTCAGACATGTAGCTAATACTTTCTCTATAATTATTTGTCAGGACTCTCTGGCACACAAATACAGTGAATGTGAATTGTCTATTTCTCTTAAACTGAGTGATTAGCAATTGTAGTCAATGAGACAAACATCGAAAATATGAATTTCTTCAAATATGAGGTAGATTTTATTACTTAAATCAAGTAATCTCCATTGAAAAGTAGACCTTCAATCTACATAAATTTAGAAATACCCTACATACTTGGGAGATTATTCCAGTGAAAGTCTCTAATGTTTCCTCTCTCCAAGGAGTAGAGCGTAACTAACAAATCTGAGTCTTCTTTCAGAAGGAGTAAGCAATTTTGCTTACCAGGATAGGAGGAGATGGCATTGATGTGGGTGGCCCTGATGACACCCACCCGGGTTCCGCGGTTGTTTTTCATGCACATGCAGATACATATGGCAATTCCAGCAATGACCCCCATGATGAATACAATTCCAAACACGATGCCGGCAATCGCTGTGCCACTAAAAAGGAAAAACAAAAGTACATTTATTGAAAAGTGTCATAAAGATTCCTCAGCTTTTCAAGTGGCTCCATGACTACGTAACAGATGCTCCTTCACAAATGTCCTTAAGGATAATGTTAAAAAGATAATTCCCTAAATTAGTCAAGGAAATAGCTTTGTGTATTTCAATGGGTAAGAAAAAGTTACAAACCTTCAGGGGATCCGCTTCCAGCACAGGAAACCTATCGTTCAGATTCTGGTGTTAAAAACATATGTATTTCTAGAAAGCACAATTCTCCAGATATGCTCTCTCAAATAATAGAACCATTCAGCTGTGTAATTAAACAGCAATGAATTTATCTGTTGTCTGTGAGTATGTGTGTTTAATGAAAACTTGATAAATGCCAAAATATTAAATAAAATTTAAGTTACCTGGATTGAAACTCTCCACAAAGTTAAACTAGAATATTTTGTTCTTAACAAAACAAAGAAAACCAAATGAAACATGTTTTTATTATTATTATCCAGAGCACATTTCTGATAAACAGTGTTCTCATTAAATTCAGGAACAATGTAAACAAAACCTCTGTTTTATTGATGTTAACTTTTTTCTCCATAATATTAGTCTACATTTATTCCACCATGGGTAAATCTTTATCAAAATGTAATTTTTCAATAGGCAGTATTATTTCTAGCAATGCTTCCTAAGGAAACACAGCACGTGTGGGTGCAGATAATGTAACAAAGATATTCATCAAGTGCAATTACTAATACTCCTGATTGTCTTCTTACAAAAAGTTTCAAGGCAGATAAACGTTTTGAGTCCTTGCATGCCTGAAAATGATTTAATGCTACACTTTCACTTGATTGATAGTTTGTCTGGGAATGGAATTCTAAGCTGAAAGACATTTCTCGAAAACATGAGGTCATTGTTCATTGCATTCTAGAATTTGACATATAGAGAAATCTAATATTCTAATTACTTTGTATGCTACTCTTTCTTCTTCTTGTTTCTTTCTGCAATCTCTTAGCATTTTCCTCTTCTAGTATTCTGAAATTTCACAATGTGCTTGGATTTTTTAAAAAATTTGTTTTGCTAGGTCCTTAGAGTTTTTCGTGTGTTGGAGACTATGCATATTCTTCAGTTCTTGAAAATGCTCATAAATTGATAATTTTCTTTCCACCATTTTTTCCGTTTCTCTTTCTGGAAGCTTATTTTGAAATAAGCCTCTGAACATCCTAGATAACTTCTCTAAGTTTTCTTATCTCTGTTTTCTTGAACTAATTTCTGAAAAATTTCATTAACTTTATGTTTCAAAGTTTTATTGAAGTTTGAATTTCAGCTACTATATTTTTAATTTCCACATTCTCTATCTTATCCTCTTTTGTACCCTCTCTTTTATATAGTGTCCTGTATTGTTTTCATGTATGTAATTTCTTCTCTTAATCTCTGAAGATACTAATAATACAGTTTTTGAAAATTTCTCTATTCTCTGTATTTCCTCTGTCTTCTTTAGGTTCCTTTTTGTTTCTTGTTTATTTTGATCTGTTTCATATTTGACATTTTCCTTAAATATCTGTTGATCCCTGAATCTCCTCCTATTTAAAAAAGAGGCACTAAATAGATACTTGGAAGTTCAGTGTGCAAGGCCAGAATTGAACAGGTGAACTCAGGTAGAGGATCACGTGAAGCCAGTTCCCATAGTTTTTTTCTTTGGGGCTGTTCATTCTTCTCCTTAAAAGG